CGCAGTCAAAAGCACGCTTCAAATCACTTTGAAGGGAAAGGACACCACTAGGTCCTGGCATCTTAAGCAGCAGGTACGGATAATGTGGTATCGCCATGAATTTTGCTAGTGCTGGGTGCCCGAGGATTGCGTGGTATGATGAATCGAAGTCTACAACCTCAAACTTGATGAACTCTGTATGGTAGTTCGAGGGAGTTCCAAAAGTAACTGGTAGAGTAATTTGTCCAAGTGGCATGGCTGCCTTGCCGGGTACTATGCCATAAAAAGGTGTACTTGTTGGTGTAATCATCCTGGCGAGTTGTAGTCCCATCTTCCTTAGTGTTTCTGAAAAGATGATGTTGAGTCCAGCTCCCCCGTCGATTAGTACTTTGGTGACAGTCATTCCGGTAATGGTTGGATCTAGAACCAGTGGGTAATGGCCTGTGTTTCCCACGCTAGTCCATTGGTCCTCTCTTGAGAACTGGATTAGATATTGTGACCAATTGAGATATCTTGGAGTAGCCGGTTCTGCTACCATGATGGTTCGCAGAGCTAGCTTTTCTTGATGTTTGCTTCTAGAGTCTGGGACCCCGGCGAAGATCACTGCTACTGTCCCCTTGGATTTTTGGAATCCCTTGTCTTCGTGGTTGTCTTCGTCTTTTTTCTGATTGTCTTCTTTTGTGTTTCCCTTACTATCTTTTCTTATGTATCATTCATTAAAGGTGTAGCAATTTCCGATGGTGTGATTTGCTTTAGGGTGCAAGATGCACTGCATATTCTCAATGTCATCATATCTTCTGGGTTTGGAAAACTTCCTCGACTTGTCAGCCACCGCTATGGTGTTGTCTGATCCACGTTTCCTTTCCTGATGTCTGCCGTTTCGATGATTTTGTCTATCCGGGTTGTCTCGGTTGCTTCTTTTCAGGAACCTTTCTCGCGTCTTCTCCTCTGCAGTAATCATCTTTTCTACTGTGTGTCCGAATTCTTCATTGTTTCTCAGGTTTTCTTTGCAGAAAACCTGAAATTGCCACCTAGCCATGATTTCGTGAGAGAAAGCTTCGATTACTTCTCGTTCGGTGATGTCATGTACTTGGGCACATAGTTCGCCGAATTGTCGATAGTAGTCTCTGAGACTTTCGCCTTCTTTCTGCTTGAGTCCCTTTAGTTCTGCGTGGGTGATGGGGTGCGTAATGATACCCGCGAAATTTTCATAGAAAGCCCTTTGCAAGTCCTCCCAATTTCCGATTGACCCTGGATTTAATTTATCGAACCATTGGAGGGGCATGGTTTCTAGGGCCATGGGAAAGAACAAGGTCTTGATATCGTCGTCTCCTCCAACCAGTTCAATCGATTGTGAGTAGATTCTGAGCCACTGCCTTGGTTCGGTCTTGCCATCATATTTAGAGTGGTTGGATGGCTTGAGCTTGTGAGGCAGTCGTATTGAAGCAAGTCTGCTTGCAAAACAGGGGAATCTATCGTGCGTCCCGGCTTCTCTGTATTCTGATTCGGCACCTCCTTCTAGTCAGCTGTCGTTTTGGTGAGAGTAGTTCTGCGGGGCTGTCCGAATGGGTGCTTCGCTTCTGATCTGTCTTGGTTGTTCGGCTCAGTAGTTTTGACTGTGGTCCCTTCTACTTTTTCTGTTGTGACTTCCACTTGGTCCAAGTCTCTCGAATGCGGACTTCCTTTGATTTTGATCTTCCTTCCTATGAGATGTTGACCTGGCGGGTAGTCTTGAACGGGTTCTTCCATCGTGTGTCTTTAGGGCTGCTGTCCGGAGAAGTTCCCGGAGCTGTTCCTACTGTTCACTGGGATGCGAGGTCGTTCTGAGTTCTTCAAGTGCTTCTCGGATCCTGTTGTAGGGTGTGTTTGCCGCACGTCTTTCTTCGACTTCTTGTTCTGATTTTCTTCTGTTGTATTCGGCCAGATCTGACTCATATTTGATCCAAGCTTCCTTGCGCTGCCTAGCACGTCGTTGGCGTCCTTGTTTCAATTTGTTTCTTCTTTCTCTGGCTTGCCTTTAATTCTCGGTCTCACCATCGTAGCCCTGAGCGAAGGGTGATATGTTGGACTCAGATTCGTCCGATGACCTGATGTCGGGCACTTCTGGGGGATCAATGGTGATCGAGGACGGCGAACCATGAGTACTTCTCGTGCGTGAGCTGTTCTATTTTTGGCGTTGGTTTCCATACCGTCGGAGTTGCTGATAACTTTAGTAGAGGCTTCAAGGTCGTAGATCGAGTCTCCTTCTTGGTAGGGTAGAATTGTTGTTGTCATCGTGCCGACTAGTCGGGTACTGCTATCCTCAAGAATAGAACCTGGCCAGTGGACGATGCAGTCTTGAGATGTTATAGTTAGTACGAGACCTTCCTGAGCTCCTTTTAGTGGCATTCTAAGCACTGGGTCGAGGGATCCTTCGAGCTGTGCCTGGTAAGACCTTGCCATGTTGTGGAGTCCAAATAGAAAAAGATCTGACTTCTTGAAAAGATTCTGAGTGCACTCCGAGTTGTATTCTTGATATGCCGAGGCCACGTTCTGTAGCCCCATTGGAAAAGAACTCAGATTCTCAAAAGAACTCGGGTCATACTCCATCTCGGATGCATAGCCTGAATTCAAGTCGGATGCGCAAAGCCGCGAAACCTGAGTTGAATCGGACATTTCGAGCTACGCGAATCTTCCGGTGATTTGATCCATCGTAATCGCTGAAGTAGGAAAGTTTTCATGGTGAACCGAATCTTCGAGAAGACGGCTTTGGAGCTTGCCATCGCCGCCTGCCTCGTAGATCCACGAACCGAAGATGAAGGTTGATCCCATCGAGAAGATCATGTTGTTGAGGTCCATCGAGCTCTCGGATGCAAATTCACCGAAAGCCCCTACCTGGCGCGTCAGCTGTCGATGTTTGACCACCGATAGCCTACCACGGGGGTCCCCGGGGCAGTATGTTTGGGCTTCAGCATATGCGGAACTCAACGGTGAACGCAAGAGACAGTTGATTTATCTTGGTTCGGACCCTCGATCGTGATCGAGTAATAGCCCTACATCTAGTCGGTGTTAGCCTTGCGTTGTATTGATTGTCTGGAGTTGTTGTTACAAAAGTTCCTCTTTCCGCTAGGAACCCCGCCCTCCTTTATACAGTTCAGGAGGTCAGAGTCCTAGTCGGTTTACAATGAGAGTTCCTAGTAGGATTACAGAATAATACTACTACTAGGATTACATGAAAGGAAACCTAGTTAGACTAGATCTTCTCTCTTCCTTGCGGGGTATCCCATGGGTCCCGCATCGACATCGGTTTCTGATCTCTGGATTTCTAATACTCAATCTTGGAATATGCAACTCTTGTCTAATACTTTTGACAATCAGGCTATCCAAGCTATTACCAATATACAATCTGTTCCTAATGATCAGCAGGATGTTCTTAGATGGTTGCCTTCCAAGAATGGTATATGCGCTACAAAAATATTTACAGGCACCTGTCGTCCCAGAGGCTGATCCAACTCCCACAGCAAGGCTCTAGAAGCATTCTACCCCAAACTAACCAAATTCTGCAGCGAGCGTGGAAAAGCAACGAGATACCCCCTCTCATCAAGGCCTTCACATGGCATCTTATAAGGCGAGCTCTTGCCACTGCAGACCGTGCAGCCAGGTATTCAACTCACATCGACAAACACTGCTCCACCTGCGGTGCTATGGAAGATGACGCCTATCTTTTCTTCCATTGTAATCTGCCTTGGGCCGTCTGGTTTTCTTTCAATCGCCCCATGAGAACTGATAACCTCCCACGAGAAAATGGAGGAGTCCAATTAATTCTGCAAAGTTTTATTTCCAATTCCGTTCCTGACTCCCTACTACAAAAAAAATCCTTACCACAATGTGGTATATTTGGAAAGCTAGAAATGATAACCTCTTCCAAAGAAAGACTTGGACTCCTATGCAGGTATATAATGCTGTTGCTGCTCACATCAACACTCATCTACAAGCACAGCAAGCAGGAAACGAAGCTGCAACCACCCAGTCCACACAGCCGCTACAGCTAACTGATCTTGCGGACCACAATCAGCAAGGTGCGCACTCTTCCTCTACAGGTCTGCCTACCGACTATGGAGTACAATTCACCTCGGAAGTGCCATCGATGAACCAGGCACGACAGCCACCTCAAATGCACACCGAATCATCAGGTATGAACACATGACACATCTCTACTGCAGTTGCCAATGACGAACAGGTTCACAATCAACACACCGGCCCTATTACCAGGCACAAGATGCTATGTCGACGCATCCACGCTCCCGGACCACCCGACGATGCCGTCCAGACAGGCCGGTCTGGGAATTCTCATTGTTAACGTGCAGGCCCAACCAACGCAGACGATCTACATACAGGCAAAGCTTGCTGAATGTACTTCGGTCCTCTAGGCCGAAGCTGTCAGCCTAGCCTTTGCAGCTACTGTCGCCGAGACCCTGAATCTCAGCAACATAAACTTCTTATCCGATTGTCAGCAGCTGGTTCATTTTCTCAATGCAGCTGACCAATCCAATCCTCCGGACTGGAGAATCAAACCGTTTACTCAAATGTTCTTCAACTATGCAAGAAGCAGGGAATCCAAGATTTTCAAGATCAAAAGGCAACTCAACACCACTGCCGATGCACTGGCTCGTCAGTCTATCAGTCTCAGCCTCTCAGTACTCAAGTTTAGAGTCTACTTGCTCTTATGAGCACCATGTACTCCAGTGCTCTCTTTTACAAGCTCTACAAGCTGTAGACTTGGACAATGTAACCATTATCTCAGCACGTTGCTGCTGATAATAAAGTTGCTTGTTGTAAACAAAATGTCAAAGGTCCGTCAAATTCCTTTTTGCAAAAATGGGCCTGTCAATTTCCTGTAAAGAAATCCAGCCACATAACACGTCCTTTTGATTGAACTCACAATTAAAAAAACTTTTTGCTAAAGAGAGATTAAAAAAATAGGAATAAATCCAAAAGCAGCAATATCCACAGACACCTCGACGGACCACTAGAATGCAGCCATGATTGCCTCCTCCCTCCCCCTCCGCTCCCTCTTCGTCCTCCCGTCCAGCGCCGCATCCCGCTCCCGTCCCGGTCCCGCCACTGCCATCCTCCTTCCCTTTCCAAGGATCACCCTCAGCCGCCGCCGCTTGGCCGCCTCCGCGACTGAGAGCAGCAGCGAGGAAGAAGAAGCGGCGGCCGGGAGCACGAACGGATCCCTCCCGGGCCTGTCCCCTGTCGAGGAGGAGGAGGAGGAGTTCTGCCCGGTGGACTGCGTGACGGAGTTCAAGACGGACAAAGAGTTCCAGCGCCACCTGGAGCGGTCCAAGGCCACGGGCGCGCTGGTGGTGGTGGACTTCTACCGGCCCTCCTGCGGCAGCTGCAAGTACATTGAGAAGGGCTTCGTTCGCCTCTGCAAGAGCTCCGGCGACGACGGCGCTCCTGTCGTCTTCCTCAAGCACAACGTCCGTATATACACTCAGACGCAGACGCCGCCTGCACAGCAAGTAGCAAGCTATTGCTGCACAGCATCGCGATGCAACACGCGTGGTTGATTTGCGGGTAATGCTGATGCAGGTGATCGACGACTACGACGAGCAGTCGGAGGTGGCGGACCGGCTGCGCATCAAGATCGTGCCGCTCTTCCACTTCTACAAGGACGGGGCGCTGGTGGAGTCATTCGCGACGAGGGACAAGGAGAGGATCCTCGCCGCCATCCGGAAGTACACCTCGGCCGAGCAAGAACCTGAGTGAGTCATCACTTTCTGATCTGTTTCGATTTGACAAAGATATCATCAGATCTTGTAGTGATGCTGCATATTATAACTCAGGTTCTACTCTGCATTCTCCTTTTTTTTAAAAAAAAAAAAAGACTACCTTTTTGTTTGTTTGTGCGTGCGTGCGTGCGTGCGAGATCCGCGTAGCAAGTTAGCAACATGCAGAGATTCAAAAAAAAAATTAGCAACATGCAGCAGGGCTACCTTTCGAGTCACAGGGCTTAGAAGTTAGAACGATCTCCTTGCCAGATGTTCTTAGGTAACATTGGAATAGATTGTTTCTAGGACCCCAAGAGACACATTTTTTTTTTGTGAGTAGCCTGTTTTTTGAGTTGTTCATCAAATCCTCAGGCTACCTACCATGTCTTTTCCTAGGATGCCAAGAGCCACATTGTTTTTCAACACAAAATGGTGGCACGAGTAATTTATTCTCAGTGTGTATTTCACCTTCAGAGCAAGGGAAAAAAAAAAGAACATCTGGGGACAAAAACTTTTTTTTTTATAAAAACAAACTTTATTATTAGCAGCATTGAGCTACATTGATGGTGATTAAATCACAAATTACATATTGCAAGACCGTCACTAGGGGACAGCGGTTTACATGAGTAGAATTGGTACACGTAAACTGCAATGGAGAACAAGTTGTGCTGGATGAGCTAAAGGCCTGAGAAGCTAGAACATGCATGAGCCGTGATGTTTAGCTTTCGATAGACCCCGGAGGACAAAGACCATGTTCGCTTCACTGAAAAGCCATGACTAAAATTATTGTTCGCTGATTTGTTGTGAGACAAAACATTATTCCTTCACTAAAACAGTACGACTCATAAGAGAAGCGAACAGGGCCAAAAACTTTGGTCCTTTGAAAGCAGCCACACCACACATGAACACATCGCTGCACTTTTGCAACTGTGGTAACAATTCGAATCGAGCTGACGTTTCCATTTCCCTCGCAGGCAAGAGCAGGAGGAGTGATTCCACTCCAGTGGTGGATATTAGCAGCATGTTCGGTTGGCTGGTTCGTATCGTTGCTGATTCGTAAATAAGTACTGCTGGCTGATTTGTGTGAGAGAAAAATACTGTTCCGACTGAAAATTTACAATCATTTACGATAAGTCAGAGCCTTTCTTCGAGGGTGTAGATAGCCTAGGCATGTAGAATTGCCGAATTGGAGATGACATGCACAGCAGCAGCACATGATTATTTGGAAATTGGAGTTTCGATGCCTGTCCCCACATTTCGGATGTGTGAGCTACCACCAGCAGTATATCATGAGTCTCGATCAATGTACCATTATTATCTGTAATACGAGATGTATAATATCTGAACCAAACATGCGTCCTTATTTCTACACCGTAGTGCAGACCTGGAACGGAACCTGCCGCGTCGTGCAGTGCTGGACGCAAATTTGTTTACTGCCTGTCTCTGTGCCAGCTCCAGTAGCTGTGATATAAAAATCAGCTGATCCACCATTATTTTTCCTTTAAAAAAATATAAATTACTCAGAAATAGAAGCTGTAAAGCCCGTTAGCGTTACTGTGTTTTTTTACGAGGAAAAAGTCCTTTTGACCACCTTCAACTTTTACTAGAGTCTGATTTTTTCATCCTTATATTTATAAAAACAGGATTTTTCAACCATAAAGATAGAACATGATTTTAGGAAAAATTTACTAGGTTGATAATTTTCTGAGCTTTTCGACGATTTTCCTAGGATCAGAATGGATTTTAGGATTTTTAGTTACATAAATTTTCTTTGAAAAATGTTTGATATTTTTTTCAAAAAAACTTATAGTCTAATATACCCTCGTTTTTTTTTTTAGTGGTTGCGTGAAGCTACGTGACCTAAAAATCACTGATTATAATCGCACATCGCGAAAATGGGGAGCAAGCTGGGACAGGGCCCATCTGTGTTGGGCTCTATCAGGGTTCATTTAGGGCCCATGTCCCTCTCGTCTCCTATACGGACGGAGAAAAAGAGATGCGAGGACTCGGAGGTCCACTGCTCACCATCGGGGATCTACTCAGCGACCTCGCCGTCGACGGCGGTGACGACCCCCTCGTCGGCGTCGGAGATGCGTCCGCCCCCTCATCTCCATCGGCGGCGCAGCAAGCGGGGAAGGCTGATCCGTCCAATCTCAGCCGGCTCTTCGAGGTTAGGGCTCGTTTCCTCCCCTCCTCCCATGTTCTCGATCGGGGTTCCATCGATTGACTCTTCCATCGTGGGCTGCTCTTATACTTCTGGGATTGTATTGTAGAATTGACTAGCCAATTTGGAGTCGAGCATCGTATCCATGTGTTTTTTCCCCGTTATATTACGCACTCAGCTGTTGCCATATGGTGCCATCTGCCATGGTGGGCGAGCAGCCGCTGCGGCAAGGGCGGGCGTGCTCGGTGCTGCTTGCAATCTGGCATCAAAGCACGGCTCCCTTAATTGCTTGCATGCTGTATGTGAGCACGGCCGCACGGGTTGCCTTGCATGTAAGGCGGACGGTGAGCACAGCTGGTGACGGACGGCGCTTGCAACATGCTCGATGAAATGCCCAAAAGCACACAGTTCATCCTATACATCTCTATACCACCAACCAAACGGTACAGAGGGATGATCCCGTCCCTTCAAACCAAACACAGTGGTGTGATCACCCTGTTCCAGAAAAAACTGAGATGGAACCGTCGTCCGGTCGTCCCCAAAACCAAACACAACCTTACTTGATTTCACGGGGAGAAATGGAGACTGCGGCTTTACAACAGCTCAGCTTGATTTACGTAGATGCAATTCTATTGACCTGATCGTTGTGAATTTACATAAACGTTCAATGCCTTGCCCTAGGCTTCTTTGCCAGTCGTGCCTGGCGGAGAAGATAGTTGCATTGCTGCAGTTTTAGTCACAAGAGATATTTTGCTGCTGCAGTTTTAGTCACAAGAGATATTTTGCTGCTGCAATTTTAGTCAGAAGAGCTACATTCGCGATTCACAGGAAAACTAAATCGAGTGCTACATTTGTTGATGCAGTTTTGGTCATCCGTGTCTTCCACCCGAGTATTAGCTGTTTAGATCATCAGTATGTTATTATACTGTTTTCATGCTTGTCTGGTTCTCCACACTCGGATGTCTCGATTCTCAACTAAAAATTCTGACTGAATTTTGAGTTTCTTCATGATGCTATCAGGAACACTACAACAATTTGATGAAGGCTCTAGAAGAGAAGGACCCTTCATGGCCCTCGCTGATGCTGAAGGTATGGTTCTTGCTTTCCCATTTCCCTTCCTTTCCTTTTACACTTGTTTGTACCTGTTCGATGTAACTAATAACGCTGTGGTTATGTCTGTCTGTAGCTGTGCGCGGCGTTGAAGACTGCAGATAAGCTGGTGAGTTGCGCGAACACGAATGCAGAACAGCTGCTGAAGAAGGTGAAAGCACTGGAGGACGTCCTTGAGAGGGGTGATCATGCGGTGGCAGAGATTGTAGAAGCTCTCCAGAGGTCAGGGCTCGCCAAGGATCGTCAAGGTTCCCAATCAGAAACGGCGCAAGTAGTGACATAGTGCTGTACTGGTGTGGCTTTTTTTTATCGTATCATGCAAATCTCTGGGCATTGTGAAGAGTTGTATGTCGACCTGTGCCTCCATGGCTTTGCAGCCTGCCCTGTGCTTTACACTCTTGGTTATGTTTATCCGGTCAGCCGTAGTGGGTTGAGGCTAGATTTGCAGTACAAGCTCCTTCTTCTGGGATCATTATTAGCTTGGTTTCTTTATTAGGTATGTTTAGGTCTGAAATAAAAAAAAAATCTTGAGCAGAAAGACACTAAAAATGTCTGATTGAGTACGCTTTGCGAAATGTGAGAACTTAGCCGGTTGCATTGTCCATTCTTCCTATCTTTGAATGCGGAAAAACTTCTTTCGAACCAGTAAAAACGGTGGTTTCACCTACGGAAACGCCCCTTACAGGGCGTCCGGACGGACAGGCGGAGCTTTGCTCGTGGGACGGACACCGTCCTTGCCCGCACCACGCAAGGCGAGCCCGAGGCGCTAGGCGTTTGCTATCTCGCTCTCTAACTCGCGTCTCCCGTCATGCTCGTGCTCTATCCATCTGCTCCTGCCAAGGTCCGTGTCGCCAAAGAGCTCCACACTGGCGACCTTCACGCCCTCCGCAGCTTTGAACTCCGTGCCGGCATCGTTCTCCGCATCGATGAGCCTCCATTCGTCCAAACAGTAAGCAGATGCTATGCTGAAAGCGCATGTTGCAATAGTATGTTTGAAGTGTTTCAGATGTTTATGAGGTGTGTTGCAAGTGTTGTATATCGATGTTGCACATGTTGTAATGCCTATACACGTATATTTCAAGTGTATGTTCCAAATGTTTCATATGTTCCAGACGAATGTTGCAAGTGTTTTATCTAGATGTTGCAAAAGTAGATCTAGATGTTGCATATGCATGCATGTTGTAAGCATATGTTTCAAGTGTTTTAGGTGTTTCATAAGTATGTTTGCAAGTGTTTTTAGATGTTGCATATGTTTGCAATGGTTTTCAAATGTTTTTAGGCGTTTTCGCAAGTGTTTTCAGACGCTTGTTTCAAGTGTTTCATCTGTCTTTTTTGTATGTTGCAACTGTTGCATCTAGATGTTTTAAAAGTAGATCGGCTGCTGCATATAAGATGCGCGTGAGAAGCGATTGGTGACGCGGGACCACTACTGGTGCGCTCCCTCGCGAGCCCGACGCGCTAGGCGCTCGTTCGCTCCCAGCGTCCGGATGCTAGCGCACGAATCGGGTATCCGGAAACTAGCAAGTCCTAAATTATACGGGAGTTTACAGGTAACATTTCAATTCACGTAGAGTCCAGCATACCAAGGCGTCCTGAATTTCTCCAAAATGTTTCAAAATGGGCTATCAGTATCCAAAGGCACGTATGAGGCGACGTTTACTTCCACGAAATTTGAAAATTTGGCTACCGTAGCATTTTCATTTTTATTTGGCAATTAGTGTTCAATCATGGATTAATTAGGCTCAAAACGTTCGTCTCGCGATTTCCCACCAAACTGTGCAATTAGTTTTTTTTCGTCTATATTTAATGCTCCATGCATGTATCGCAAGATTCGATATAATAACTACTGTAGTATTTTTTGGGAAAACTTTTTGAAACTAAACAGAGCAATTTGGGAGTTGGGACTACAGTTTCTCACCCTGTACAGAGAAGTGCGTTGTTTCTCGTGAAGGAGCACAGCAAAATCGCAATAAGAAAACTTGCAAGGACTAGACTGAACAAAGCAGCTCCCCGGTCGGCCTCTCAAAGCTGTCTTTCCCCTTCCCGGCGCCGGAGTCGGAGAAGGCCACCACGGGGGTGCGATGGACAGCAACAACCTCCTGGCGGCGTGGCCGGTCGTGGGCCCGGGCGTCGCCGGCGCCGTATTCGGCGCCGGCTGGTGGTTCTGGGTCGACGCCGTCGTCTGCAGCGCCGCCGCCGTCCCATTCCTCCACTACCTCCCAGGTAAGCCAAGTGCGCGCCGTTCCCCTCGAGCGTCGCGCCCTCGTCTCGCCTCCTTCGCTCTGTGAGTCTGTGTTCCCCGAAAGCTAGGTTTTCAACCCGCTCGTGGATTCTGTCTTGATTAGGGTTCTTCGCCTCGTTCGCCGCGCTCATGTTCAACGCCGTCAACCGGGAGGACATCGGCGATGGCTACTACTCACCGTACGACGACTCCGAATGGAGGTGAGGGAACAATTATTGAACCCTAAGCCAGGTTTCTGGCTCTAAGGTGTTTTTATTTCTAGTACTGATGCAATTAATTGGATCGTTTAGTGTTCAGCGGTGTGATTCGGCAAATATCATGCTTGATTACACTAGTTATGATGATATTACTTTCTGCGTACCTGTGCATGTTTATCTCTCTGATGTGTTGAATCTGATCACCTATGGAATTAAGAGTTTTTGATGGCTTGATCGGTAGGGCAAGTGATTTTGGACTTTTAGTTTTTCTGATGAGAGCGGGACCATAGGCTTATATTTGGCTTGGAACTCGAAGTGCCAACTTTTTAAAATAATTGTAACAGAATAGTTTGGGCAGAAATTGCATTGTGTCGAATGGGAGTCACTTTCACACTTAGAAGCATTTGAGCCATGTTTTAAAGCTACTGACTCACACATTTTCATGTCGCTGGATTACCATGGAAATGAGGTGAGGGCAACACTAACTAAACTAGACAAGCAAAAAAAAGATATATAAATGAAAGGAAGAACCCCAATTTCACCATGTAAATTCCAAGAGCAGCACAGGTCAGGTGTGCCACAATTTCTAGCTGCTGTTTGGTTCACTGCCACAGTTGCGACTTGCCACAGATTCTTAGCCCCATGGCCTATGTGTCATAGATAGATTTCGTTGCCAAACTTTGCGACAATCATGGCTTTGATTTCAACAGCCACACTTTCTTTGGCAGCCATACTTTGCCTAAGATTAGTCGTGGCTAGGTTAGGTACTAACCAAACATGCCAAATAAACTTTCTGAGGCTTCTAACCTTTGTGCCAAATAAACTGAAACCACAGGAAGTGAAGATACATAATTTAATCACCATTACTTGTTTGCATAAATCACATAAGAAATTATCAAATGCTCAACTTTTGTCTCTACCTGCTATTTTGGAAAAAAAAAAATATGCTGTTAAAAATTTCACTTCTGTGCACACATCAACTTAACAGATTAACAGATTTGTGAACCACTGTTATAAGGAAGGATGTTCTCATGAATTTTTATGAGTTCCTGTCTGATTTAACATTTACCCCTCTTTTACTATATGACAATGGAACGCATTGAATTGCAGGGTGAAACTCTGGCTCTTTATTTCTTATGTGGTGTCTTTCGTCTCGTTGGCTGGGTCAGTCGGTTTTTTGGTTCAAGATGCGCTTACAGATACGGGACCATCTGCGTGGACTGGCACTGCTGGTGTCCTGCAGTGCGTTTTTGTGTTAGTGAGGTATTTACTCTTTCCTTATTTGGTCTGTTAATCGTTCAGTCCCACAGTGTGTTTGTGTCTTCTGTGAGCTTATAGGTGTTGGTGATGTATCTTGCAGTGGGTTGATCTACTGGACGTGCCACTCTGAAGATTGACGTAAGAAGTATAGGTATGACCAAGAAAGACGCGGATGCTAAAGGGGAATATGGTTCGGGCTTGTTGGCTGAAATGCAATTAGTGTATCATGGTCCATTTTATGCCCCAAGCTCAGAAGTTTGGTATTAATACAAATATAGTCGTGTACCATGCTGCTTAAAATTAGTTTCTAAGATGTTTTGGAGCAAGAAACTTCTAGGGATGATAAGTAGCCAGTAAATATGTTACATTTTCTCCGTTGACAAATTTCTTGTTGAAATTTCCTGAGGAGCCCCGTTTCTGTTGCCACCATTTGTAGCCCCTAGTCATGTTTGTAAAGTCGACAATTCTGATGATTGGAACCTGCAATCTCTCTGAAGATTGGGAGGTGTGACTATTAAGGTCCTACATCACATCACCTCACCTGTTAGTCTAACCTAAATGGCAGTCCAGTCAGAATAATGCATCCTATCTTTATGCTATGTTGGTAGTTCATGACTTAAAAGAAAATGAAAAATCCAGTCCGTTGTATCCAGAAACAGATGCATTTCCCACCTACGACAAATGGCACCAGCAACTTATGAGTAATAGCTGACCACTTGTTTAAAAATATGTGTATCTTTGACAGTTGACACACATCTAAATCCACAGCCATTGGCTTGTGTGCTGCCTGACTGGTACGCCACTATACCATTCTTCCAGAAGGAATTGTCGTTGCCTTACCGTGCACGTCCGGCAGACCGGCGCAGAGGAACAAAAGGGGCAGTCCTCGTCAGTGTCTTTTTACGAGTCCAGTTCTACGCTTCTTCTGTTTTACGAGTCCAGTTGACTTTGACCTGAAACTATAGCGTATAGGTCGTCGTCGGCCGAGGGTCGAGCTAAGGCCTAAGTGCAGGAGAAGGACCATGGGGTCAAGGTTGGAAGCTTTCTAGCAGTTTTGGCGTCAGTTGGTCAACAAACATGTGTTACTGTCTTCAACAAGTCAGGAGGTGTTTGGTTCTTTAGTTGTTCGTAAAATTCATGTCACATTGAATGTTTAGATACTAATAAAGAGTATTAAATATAGATTAATTACAAAACCAATTACATAGATGGAGGCTAATTTGCGAGACGATTTTTTAAGCCTAATTAAGCTGTCATTAGCACGTGTTTACTGTAGCACCACGTTGTCAAATCATGGACTAATTAGGCTTAAAAGATTTGTCTCGTAAATTAGTCGCAAGTTGTGTAATTAGTTTCGTAATTAGTCTATATTTAATACTTCATACATGTGTCTAAACATTCGATGTGAGAGAAATTTTATGAACGCGTTGTTGAAACCAAACAGGGCCTTACCCAAATGGGAACCCAAACCCAAAATAGGTAGTAAGAGATCCAAAATCGGTCTCCAACAGAGTACCTATATGGGAGATCCATTTTGGATTGCCTGAGAGGTAGAAGAACTCAAATATGAGCATTCTCTCCCGGAAATCCATTTGTAGAAAGAATTTCTTTTATGTCCTGTTGTTGGAGAAGATGCTGAATATGTATTGAACCATTTATCTATAGCACTATCCAAATGTCAAATGGATCTTATATTTTAGGTGGTGTTGTTGAAGATAGTCGGGCCATAACCATGACATCCTGTGCTTAGCAATCATTTCCACACAACATTTATTTTCGCAAAATTCAGTGCGGCCACGATTTTAATCTGTCAGGAAAAAGGTTCATGAATTCTAGTGTGTGTACAATTGATATCGACACTAGCGTACTCCCTCTATCACTTAGTGCATGAACTTGGTTTCGAGTGTCATGCAGGTCCAAACGAGTTCGGATGAAGACAAACTTTATATTAAAATTGTAGCCCTCAATAAAATCTATAACTTTGTAGGTGAAAAGTTTTTGAATTAAAACTGTTTAGTGTCCCAAAATACTACTGTAAGTTTACAGATTTTAAAATTTAAAATCTAAAATTATTAAAAAATCTTGGATACTAACATGGTCTATATAAAAGTTATATTTATCAATACAATATATAACTTTGTAGTTGAAACTTTTTTTATTTAAAGTTGTTTAGTATCTCCTCTAAACTTAGAATACATGTTTGGGACACTAAACAACTTCAAATAAAAAACTTTTCAACTACAAAATTTTAGATCGTATTGATAATTATAACTTTTACATAGACCATGTCAACATCCAAGATTGTTGGATAATTTTAAGTTTAAAATTTCAAAATATGCGCACTTACAACAGTATTTTGGGACCCTAAACAGTTTCAATTCAAAAGCTTTTCAACTACAAAGTTGTAGAACCTGTCGAGGGCTACAATCTTAATATAAAGTTTGTCTTTATCCGAACTCATTTGGACCCGTTTGGATCTGAATGACACCTGAAACTAAGTTCATGAACACAGAGCTTCCGTTCGCTGGTCTGGGCTGAAGAAACCAGCCGGCTGGTTTCCCTCTGAGATCACTGTTCATCAAACCAGCCAACAGTATTTCTCTCTCACACAACCAGCCAGTTTCAGCCAAGATTCTGCCAGCCGAACGGAGCCAGAATTAGCATTTGGAAAGTAGAGGGATCTAGACAACACCACGTGCTAAGGACTGCTCATGTATTTTCCTCGTTATTTAAGAACCGAGGGAGTACTCCAGATGTCGCAACAGGTAAACAAGCTGGGTACGGTCTTAAGTCTCAACAGCGAAAGGGCTACGGAGTACGCCCTCTCAAGTTTCAACAGCTTGAGGAATTCCGGTGGCACGTGCCAGAACGCCATAGCTTATTGCGTAGTAAAGTGCTTATAGTTTAGGCTTGGAAGCTGCCGCTTTGCCAAATGGTTGCACCTAACAGGGCCATCCTTGCTTCAGACGGAATGAATGTCCCTGCAGGTTACTTCTAGACGGCAGAATCTTGTAAAAAGGCTATTAGAGGCCGGACGTGTGAGGTGGCAGGATCTCATCACAGTCACCGGCTTGAGCGTTACCTTTTTTGAAATACTATATAAGGCCATGATGTGCCGTACGCTTAAATATGAGTGCTTAAGAAAAGAGTGTGTTGTTAAATCATTAACCGCCTGCACTGTATACACGTTAATCCCTTCAATACAAATAAGCTTAACTAACCTTGTTAGCACACTAGAGCACCAGGAGCAAATTTAGGGCTCGTTCGGCTGACCTTAAGTTTTGGTTTGTTCAGCTTCTTTTTTCAACCGGAACATTGTTTTTCAGCCAAATTCAGCCAAGCGAACAGAGCCTAAGCACCTTATCTATACCTAGTACTCCCACCATCCCTATCAATATCTAGAGTTGCCCTAAGTCAAAAAAATTTCAATGTTTGAACAAAGAAGTATAAATATTTGTCAAATGAGCACATTATGAAAATAATATTTATAGTGCAACTAATGATACTACTAATTTTGTGTCTTAAATCTTGATGCTCTTTTATATAAATTCAGTCAGATTTTAAAAAGTTTGACTCTAGAAAACTCTAGAAATTGATTTATTCAGAGACAGAGAGACTATTAAAAAGAGAAGAGATTCTTCCATTAGCCTTTTTTTTTACTTCCCATAATGCTCTCATGTCTCTCCTCCCACTCCCAATATGTGATCTTAACTCATGGCTCCCGTAGTCCTAATCATACGAGTTAGAATGTGTGTGCAGCGAGTCCGATTTCAAAACATATCACAACATATAACTATCGTTGAATAAATCTCCAAGCAACAAATAGCCAAGGTGACCACGCAAGAAGATTTACGTTATTTCCTTCGATGCAAGTAAGCTTGACTACCTTGTTAGCACACTTAAGCACCAGGAACAAATTTAAGAACCTTATCCCTAATATGAGCACATTGTGCAAGTGACATAGAGCAGGAAAAATCGCTAGGCATCTTATCTAAGCGTCCTCATTGTTCATTGTAGCAGAACCCCCTAATCTAATGCTTCCTAGAAGTGCTGGTCTTTCATTAGACACTAAGCATCTAAAGGAGAACACTAAATTACTCGGTTCCGTTGGGCACACCCTAGGGAAGAACCCGAAAATCCACATTTTTGCCATCGGGATCACAAATGAGAGAATAAAGCTTACATCATTCTTAACTATTTCTTACATCACTTTACGTACAACATCAGAGTATAATATTTATCATTTATAATAAAGGAATATGAACATATTATCAGAGTTATGAACAATTTAATTGAACAGCGGAATATAAACATGTGAACAGAGTTACAGTAAAAATAAACATCTATTTATGGCATGATGGAGCATTGATAAATAAACTAGGACAACATATTATAAAACTTTCATTTATAAAACATTTGATGAGAGTTATAAATAAAAACTATGATCGCAGCGTAAAGAAAGTCCTCTCCGAGCCCAATAGGAGAAATCCACACACAAAAGTCAGCTCTAGCATCCACCTGTCACCTGCAATAGGGGGAATAAAACCCTGAGTACTCAATTGTACTCAGCAAGACTTACCGACATGAGGAAAGAAAAGACTCCAAGGATATGGAAGACTATCTGGCTTGTGGGTTTATTGCATTTACAGGAAGCATTACTAAGCGTGCGTCCTTATATTCGATTTTTATTAATAGCCGCATTGGTTCATTAACTAACCATTCTATGTAAGCACATGTGCTACTTTCAAGCAGGTGGTAAGTAATTAGATTTCCTTTTTCCATTCCATCTTTCATCTTTCAGTTATTACTACGGTGCTAGACCGAAATAAGACGTACCGGATCGCCCAGCGATTCACGAATCAATGCCCCCAGCTGGGTACCCTGAAAACACACGCCCCGCTTGTACCCAAGGCACAAGCAGGACCAACCCATCACCCTCCTGTCCTGGGGTCCTAGGTCCCCGTCCAAACTGGGACTCCAAGCCCCCGCCCCTGAGTCCCGAACTCAGTGCGGTGCAAGGACCTCCTCCACCAAAAAGAAACTCTGACAGTCGGTCCGAAAAGAGCCGGAACCCACAACAAGAGAGTAACAAGTCTTCCAAGCGCCCATACCCAAGTATGTGCTCGGGAT